ACTGAGACCCGGGCCTCAGGATCCACGAATGGAATAGAGTCCACTGACAACCCAACTCCTCCATACTACATACACAATGATCTATATCCGCATGAGGTGCTGAAACAACGTCCAAGATTCCATGCATAAGACCTGTCAGAAAGCACTAGGCTCACTATTGCAATGCGAAAGCACACTCTGACACCATTCGGCGGCGGCACGAACTCGGATTCCGGCAATCACGTGAAACCATATACTCGTATAAACCCCAAAGCCGAACAAGCCTGGAACCGACTCCGAACATGGCAACTTTTCTACACAGGTCCATATCAATCCAGCTCCACATCAGCACTGAGAACCGCACACGGGAAATCCACAAAACTAGGCCCTGAACCCAATACTTTATACCCATAGCGCTTCGATAAATCCGAGATACATTGAGCCATGTGTTATATACCTAACTCCACACCAGTTTTTTGAACCTTATCATATAACTATCCCCCTTTCTCTATCCGATGGGTATTGCTGCTCGTCCCTGCTAGGCTGCGACTTCTGGGCCCCTCCAAGCACCAACAAGCATCCTTGCAAAATGGATGAATGCAGAAAGCCCAACCCCCTGTATCCCAAATCCCTATAAGCCCCAAAGCCCTGTAAACTTCAAAGTCCTAAACCCTAAACCCCTAGACCTCTAAAGCCCTAAACCCTAAACCCCCAAACCTCTAAAACCCTAAACCCTATAGGCCCCGAAACCCCTAAACCCCTAAACCCCAAATCCCCAAGCTATAGACCTTGAACTATAATCTTATCCTTCCTAAACATATAACAGCCCGAACCTCAAGTAATGCAATCTTGTAAACCCTCCACATAGCCCTGCCATGCACAAACGGATCTGTGCATGCCGGGCCTTTCGAAGCCGATCTGAGAGATAATGGCAGTGGAACCTGCATCGACTTAAATTGGGCAAACAGACACATCTACTATATGCAGACTCTATAATATGAAAGACAGAACGGCAGGCAAAGAGTCGTTATGCTGTTCAGTTTTGTCGGCCGCATCCATGCTGCGAGCATTGCAATCAAAACCTGTATAGCCTCAGAGACACATGATCTTCTGCAGGATCTTCACATCTGCATACCGGCCTTTTCGGCCTCTGCTTTGATCCGGAACTGCTTGCCGTCTGGGGACAGGTAGTAGCGGTCGGTTTTGGACCCATCGGGGCGAGCTCGCTCTTCCATCTTCCATCCCTTCTTCAAGGGGGTCGTCTTGGATACCTTCTTGACTCGATCACTGCTGCCCGCCTTCGCCTTAGCCTTCGCCTTGCCGGAAGCCTGGGATTTTGCCTTGGCCAAGGCAGGCTTGCCAGCTGGCTTCTCTGTCTTCACCTTTGCTGCTGCTGGCTTCTTCATTCCCTTTTTGTTTCCCAGGACCCAGCCTGCCACGTCAGCTGGATCCGGCTCGTCGTTGTCGGCCTGCTCCTGATCATCTTTCGGCTCTTCGGTGAGCTGCTCCACACCCGGCATGTTCAGCAACGGCTTGCCTTGACCCGGGTTTGCAAGGCACTGTGAGCCTGAAGGGCCCTGAGCATGGCCATCTGTGATGGCCGGCTGGTGCGGGTTCAAGGCCCCGGGCACGGAAGCAGGCAGACCCGCAGGGGTCGTCGATGGCAAGGCCTGCCCATGAGCCTGCATAGTCTGCGGGCCCAGATTGGTGATCTGCTGGCTTCCTGAGGACGACGAGAAGCCTCCCTGGCCGAAGATCTGCAATCCCTGAAGTCCCTGCTGCTGCTGTTGCTGCTGCTGCTGCTGCTGTGTCTGCTGCTGGTTCATGTAGTGCATCATCATCCTTCCCATCATCATCATCTGCTCGCCCGTCATCTGTGGCATCTGTGGTGCAAACATGCTGTTCTTGGGCATCGGTATCAGACCCTGCTCTTGTTGCTGTGTCGGTCCTTGGATGGCCTTTTTGGTCTTCCGGAGTGTCTGCACTTTGGCGGCCTGCATCACCGCCGCGAGCTCGACCGGTTCGGGGGGATCGCCCTGGTAGCTCTGCTGCAGCTCGGCCGGAAGCTGCGACACGAAGTCCGGGAACTTCTGCAGGACCACCGCCGGCGAGACCCCCTCCCTCTGCTTGTGAAGCTTTTTCTTGAGCTTCGTCACCCGATCGTAAAACTCGGCGTGATCTGTGGCCGGCATGCCGGCCGCAACGGCAGCAGCGATGATTCGGCCGACCGTGTCTTCGGTGGGCCAGAGCAACCCGATCTTGACCAGGCGGGTCACAAGCACATCGACTTTATCTGCGATAGTGATGGCCGGGTCGCCCAGCACCCGACGGTCTCCAGCACTGAGAAAGTTGTGAAAGGACGGGGCGGCCTGGTTGTCCTTCTTGGACTTGGGGCTGGCAGTGCTCCTGTCCAAGGCTTCGGAGAGCTGCTTTGACAGGCTTTCCTTAGCACTGTCCGGGAAGGGCAGCTTGCCGATACCCTGCGACAGCTTGGAGGCTTCGACCATGGTCACCTTTGGCAAGTTTGCCAAACGAGTCTTCAACGACAAGAACTGGCTGTTAACCATCTCCTCGTACACCGTCTCGGAGACGTTGTTCCTCTGCTCTCCCAAGAAATTCCCCAAGTTGCTCATGTCCAAGAGCAACTGATCGGCCGACGACATGTTCGGAATCAGGCAAAAGGCACAGATTTCTTGCTAGATCACGGTTTGTTGCTCGCGAGCAAAGCCCTGCGAACAAGTAGATGCGAGCACAGCCCTGCATCCACAACTTGCTGTCTGCTTCAGGAATGCATGCTGCTTCCCGAGAACCCTGCCATCCTGCATGCCACTTCCCCGACAACCCTGCCTTCCTGCATTCTGCCACAACACAAGCTGCAACCTCAATCTCCTATACCTGAGACATACCAGAAGGGCTCCACAACAAGCACAGCGGGACACAGCACGACAGAACCAGTCACTGAGTTTGGATCTACTACTCAGGAGCAAAAAGAATGCAAGCAGCAATGCTACATCCTATGAATGGGTGGCCCGGGTCAAGGTTTGGCTTCTACAAACTGAGGATTTGCATGAGTGATACAGACCAACAGCCACCGGACACACTTGCAAAACTTTCTCGGCTGCTTTCCCTGGCACGGCTAAAACACAACACGAACAGAGCCACAGAGACCAGGACACCAATCGATTTAGGGATCCACGAGACCATGCGAAGTGCTGGCCCCTAGGTCACGAGTTTGTTGAAAAACAAAGTCGACCATCAAAAATTTGTTTTTCAACAAATTTCTTAATGCCGGGATCAAGGAAATTTGTTGAAAAACAAAGTCGCCCATGGAAAGTTTGTTGAAAAACAAGTTCGGTCAGGGCGAACTTGTTTTTCAACAAAGTCGGCTCGGAATATGTGTTCTCACCTTGACCATGGGGAGGGCCCCCACAGGGGGGACTCTCGCGATTTTTTTTTTTGCTTTTTTGGTCGCTGGTTGAAAACCACAGCCTCGGAGCCAAACACGGGCCTGCTAGCCTTCTCATTTGGTAACCCCTGCCTATGTTTTGCATGTTTTTTTTTGGTTTTGCTGTTTTGTTTCGGAAAACCTCGACCGCCCTCTCCAGACCCCTGGTTCCGAATCCTCCAGAGTTAGGGGATGGCCTTTGGTGCTGTGCTGTGGGATCATGCCACGAAACTGCAAACATGGAGATGGACACGGCACTGGCTTCGACTGCTGTTTCACTCTAACTCACGAAAGCTCTGCGAAAAGACAGCTCTGTATCGCTTGCAGCCGGCAAGGATTCTCCATGAGGAAGCACTATGCAAACATACAGTCCGACCCCTATCTGTGTTTGTATATAATAGAACACAACATAATAAAGTATAGTTTAAGTTCATATACGACAGCACAATATCATATGATATTTTCAATATAATTCATATAATATACTAGAATATAATATCATATAATATAATGTAATGTAATATCATGTTGTGTAGTATACTACAATATGATATAATATATAGAATAGAATATTATATAATATAATATCTATATACATACGTATAAATATATATACACACATAACCGTACACTTCGCCCTAATATCCTATCCACATCCCGGCTTCCCCATGGCTGTACAGTGTGCCGTCGGGCTGCCTTCAACATGTACACGGATCTGGCAAGCAGAAGAACTTCAGCCTATTGTCCCGCACTACAACATTTATCCCATTCTGTATAGTCCTTAAAACCACTAGATCCTGCAAGAAGCCTGCGGGCTGTGAAACATGCTCAATGCCATCGGCCGGCCACTGCATCCTGAAAGGCCTTGCTTTGCTACATCCGACACGAAACAGAACACAAAGTATATCCCGACTGCACGGAACCTCCTGACTATCATGGTTTCAAGTGAAGATCTAGGCCATCTACAGCATTTATGCAGTCGACCATGCACAAGCACAGGTATGAGGAAACACGGGCGAGGTGACCCAAAGCATCCAGGCTTATGTGTAGGCTGTATACCACATAGACATGCACCCCGTCCGTGGTGTCTCCGACCACACAAGCCGACTTCTGCGACATCTTGAAGTTGCCACTGGCACAGATTTCGAAAGAGATCCCTAGCACAGTGCATGCAGCCTGCAGTTCGTGGCTTCCTGACATATCATAAGGGAGAAAGTTTATATTAGGTATGTTACATAGATACACGGTATGATACACGTGTTTAGGGTTTGGGGGGTTGGGGTTTGGGGTTCGTGCTCTGTGTAGGTTGTATATATTCGATATATCATGGAAGCCTCTATAACTGTAGACCGACTACACCAAACATGCATCTGAAAGTGTGTGGCACACATGACTGCATGGATCTCTGGTAGATTGGCTGCAAGCACGGAACGGAGAGTGCTGGCGACCCGGGCACAACAAGCCTATATGGAAGTTAAAGCTGGAAGATTTCAGGGTGCACGGGGTTCCAAGCTAGAGCTGAAGGGCTGTATCATGCATAAGTACGTATACATAGGTCGCCCGGGCACCCAGCCGTTCACTGCACCGACCTGTCCAATATGGCCGTCATTCTGTTCATGGCAGCCAAAGCAGACCCAAGCTGCTGGATGTGCAAAGCCTGCATCTGCACTTTCTCATTGGCGGCCTTGACTCTTTTGGCCTGCTCCTTTTGTCCTCCCCTCACTCGATGGCGATCGCGACCGTGGCCAATCCTGGCTTCAGGTGATTAGTGATCTTGCTGGAGTGAACCAGCAGGTTGAGTAGAGGATGCAAGTGGAGTGGTCAGGTCCCCTGCAAAACTCAACCCAGCCATAGCTCACACAAGGCGGAGATTTTACGCACAAGAAGAAAGCAAGCAAAAAGAAGTCTGTGCTACTTGGGCTTGGCACCTACAGATATGGTACATGTGTTGTTAAAATGTCATGCTCAAGGCGTTCTGTGCTTGGGCCTAAGAGCAACAAGGAAAAAGATTCCGCATGTACACATAGCAAAGGCTTGCAAACGAGGCATGCACTTCAGCACTCCTCCTTCGCAGCCCCGCCAGGGAGTTGCGACCTACTTGCTACTGCAGGTCCAACCCGTCAGGGTGACGACACACCTACCCTGAACTACCTGGCAAAAGCTGGGCCAACTGCCCTCACTATGCGAGGGCTCTCAAGGCACCTCGTGTAGGAAAAAGACACAGCTACGGATGAGCTCACTGAGAGATCCAACCCGTTAGGGTGGAGTAGTTCCTACCCTGTGCTGTGCTGGGTGTGGTCTGCAGCGCTGCCGTGGCACTGCTGGCACACTTGAAACTCAACAAACCTGTGCGAGTGGGCGAGCGTGGAACAGGTCTTAGTGCGGTGGAGCTTGGTCCCTTCGGGGGTTGCAAAGTAACGCGTTGGTGCTCCACCTGCCTGCTCACGCGTGCGAGTTGTTTGTGAGGGACGGCGTCTGGGCGCTGCAGCAACAGACTGCGAGCTTGCTGCCTCCTCACGTGCAGAGATCTCGGCCTGGATGGCCTGCGCAGTTTGATCTCGAAGGCGCTGTAACTTGCGCGCCTTGCGGGGGCTCAGAGACAACACGGGTGTCCCTGCCTCTCGGCGGGAGATGACGCCTTGAAGGCACCACTTGAAGAACTCCCACACTGCAATGAAGCAGATACCAATGCAGATGATGGATACTGCCAACATCAAATCTGCATCAAGCGACACGGGGAGAGACAAGTCTTCTTCCTCGTCCGTTGTCTGGCTGGCAGCACCTACGACCTGAAAGAAGGCGAGCAGGACAGCGAAGGCACTCAGCTGCAGGTCTTGCTGCGCCACGGTCCCAGTGCCCACAGCTTGAGTTTCACTGTAGGCCTGAGCTTCCGCCCGGCGAGGTACGCCATGCTCGCGCAAACCCCAGATGGCTGCGAGCTCAAGGATCCTCGCAGATGGCAGCGCCTTCGTCAGAAGATCTGCGGCCTGCTCAACTCCTGGGCAGTAGACAGGGATGATCTCACCAGACTCATACTGCTCTCGAAGGTAGTTGGCGCGCACCCTTAGGTGGCGGGTTCGCCAAGACCCTTGGCCGATAGCGATGGCCAGTGCAGACTGTGAGTCAACCCTCAAAGTCTTGTCGAAGCTCGAAACCCCGAACTCGCTCAGCATGGCCTCTGCTGACTGAAGGGCAACTACAGCGTCAAGTCCAGCAACAAGCTCGGCTTCTGCGGTGCTGAGGGTGACAAAAGACTGTCGTGCTGAACGCCAGCACACCGGCGACCCGTGAAGGAAAACCACCCACCCCGTGTGAGAACGATTCCCTTCCGGCGCATAGCTGGCATCACTATACGCGATCAATCCTGTGTCATCCGCATCAGCGGTGAGAGCCAGCGCCTTGGTACGCTGCACATACGCAAGGGCCTTCTCTGCAACGCGGATGGCTCGTTGCGGCGCCTTCGTGCTGAGAGAAGCAAGCACACAAGCAGTGAAAGCTAAGTCAGGCCGAGTGCGTTGGCTTAGCCACAGGATTTCTCCAGTCAGCCTCTGTGCTGTTCGAACGGTCTCCTCGGTTGGGGACTCGTCCGTCAGGAGAGTGTCAAACGAAACAAGGTCACGCGGACAGGGGACCTTACCTAGTGCAGTGGGCTTCACGTCGTTGAGACGCAGCAGCTCTTCTGCGTAAGCCTGCTGGGACAACACAAACCCGGAACCTTGCACTACGATTTCAACCCCTAAAAACCTCAGCGGGTGCTCTGCGGTGGCAAGTGCGAGAGGCGTCGTCTTCCAGATGCCTTGGATGGCCGTGGCCAAGGCTTCGATTACCTCTTTACTGCCTGCCAGCAAAAAGTCGTCAACGTAAGTGAGCAACCCTCCTACGACTACCCCGTCAGAGGTGCGAACAACACGCCACCAGTTTGGGTCCAACCTTCCTTGCTGGAGCTGCAGTTCAACTCCGTCAACAACACACCTCAGCGCCCGAAGTTGGCAGTCTCTAAAGTCCGACCAAAGCTTAGGCGACTCCCTCAACCCGTACACAGCGTGCGTGAGGATCCAAAGCTCCCCTTCCTCTGCCAAACCTAGTCTCACTAGCAACCTAGGCGGTGTGAGAGCAAACACTGGAAAACCTCTGCCTTGCGGGATTGGGGTCAACAGAAAAGCTGAGGTGACATCTAGAGACCCGATGCACCAATTCCTCTTGGAGCTGATGATTACAAAACAACGGAGTGTCTCTGCAGCAGCACCTGAAGCGTAGACTTCAGACCCTGTGCCGGGGGCGTGGTTGCCACAAGCGACCAAGCGAGCCTTGCGTTTGTGGTAAGCTTGACCCTTCCGGGTAGCGAGGGCAGCGTCACCCTCAGAAGGGTCTGGTGGCTTGACTGTAAACACAAACTTAGACGGAACTACCTTCACTTCCTTACGCCTAAGCCAACCTCCCGAACGGACCTCTGCAGGGGGCAGTCGCCGCACAGCCTTCTCAATGACACCGATCTCTTTGTGAATGGACGGCATCCACTTCTCGATGCATTGCTCTGCATCCCGAGGGTCTACAGTGTGGACTACCTGCAGTGGTTCTTGCAACCCGTCAAGCAACAGCTCCACGTTGGTAGTGTAAACCGGCTCAGACTTGCAAAGGGCGCAAGCTTCACTCGCGTCCGAGTCGTCAGACCTGAGAACACACAGCTGCTCACCTGTCTGCGGGTCTGGAACCCACAACTCCCACAGCACTGGTTGCTCCGGCAAGGAGTCTTCGCTTGAGCTCTCCTCCTCCTCAACCTGTGTCTCGGTGTCTGGTTGGCAAGCCAGCAGGGCGTGCTCAGACTGGGTTCGCCTGTGGTCCGGCGAGTGTTTCAGGTTCCACGACACCTCCAGCTCTACAGTACCTGCTTCTACGGCTTGGGTTTCTTTCCAACCTCCGCCTTTAAGCACAGTCCCAGGCGCTAACTCAGAAGTCTTCCCGTCAGGGTGACGTGCCTTTGTCTCCTGAAGGGGCTCTTCTTCGAAGCAGTCAAACGCGTCTAGACGTCTCACGTCTTGCTGCTCAGTCAGCGGTAAACGTACCGACGCTGGGAGTGGAAAACCTAAAGCTTCAAGGCTTTGAAACTCGTGCTCAAGCTCTTTGCCTAACGTGTTGACAGTGTAGCCGACAAGCACTGCTCTCTCACCCTTCCAGGGAGTGGTGGCGTGGCGGCGAGTAGGGTCTAGGAAGAAGGGCTTACCGCGCTCTAACTTGTGAGTTGTCCCTAACCAGCGCCTGCCTTTGCCGTCTACCCGCTCCTCTACAGGGCCACTGACTAGGTCACCAGGCTTGAGTTCTATCCACAAATCCCCTCCGTTAGGCGGGAGCTTCAAAGGGAGGACTACATTTGTGGATCCCTGCAGGTTGTGGTGGTCGGCGTGCACGGGTTGAACAGTGGAGTTAGACAACCAAAGCGAGGTGTACTCTGCTGTGGGTGCAACTGCCGAAAGCACCATATTCATAAGCTCTGTCAGCCAAGGCTTATCTGTGGTACCCCCTAAAACTCCTACGACACCTCCGTGACGGTACAACCCAGCTTTGTGTTGCAGCTGGGGCGCTGCTCTGCACACTTCGGCTAACACCCACAACGCTTCATCAAGGTCCCAGTCGTCCTCGATAAGCTCCGTAGCTAAACCTTCAAGGTCTTGCAGACTCAAGCGCGCTACACGGGCAGACTCCTCCTCAACCGGTGACACAGGCCCTTCCGGGTGTGGAGCTTCTGCTGGCGGCGGCAAGGGGGGGGGCGGGTCAAGTGCAAAGACGTCGTCAAGTCTCACACCAGCAGACCGCTTGCCGCGAACCCTGCGTGGAGGTGGTGTGTGCTCCTCCTCAAGCGAGTCTCCTACAAACTGCAAGGGCGGTGGATCCGGAGAAACAAGGCGGGTGCGAACATGGAGTGTTTGCACAAAGCCGTTGCCAACACCATCGCTGCGCAACACGATGTGACCATCATTCACAGATGGTGACAACCCCATATACTTACCTTCAACCCATCTATCCTCCAAATCACCCTTCTTGCTAAAAAACTTTCGCTTCACGGAACACTTCCCTCCGAAATGGATGGCAAGTTTGGACTTCATGCCCAGCTGCTGCGCCCGTTGCTGAGCCGCAGCTGTCATGATTGCACAAGGCCACAAGGACGAGTCAACCTCGCCAGAGGTGAGAAGGGTTCGTGCTCGTGCTTTGAGCCAGCGCACGGTGTTCTCAGCAGAGCCGTTCTGCTGCGGAACGTCCCCTTCTGTTGTTGTTGTGCGGACTCCACGCTCGTGAAACCAAGCTCGAGTCCTTTTGTTGAAGAACTCACGACTGCGGTCTGTGTGGAAACGAAGCACGGGGAGGTTTAGGGACCGGGTAATGTACACCTGTTGGAGGGCATTGAGGATATCATCACCCTTGTTTGTGTGAAGTGGCACTGCAAACACCAGCCTCGCCATGTCAGGCGGTGTTTCGAGTTCACACCTGGCTGACTCGCAGGGATGCTCCTCGGCAACTTTGGCTGCAAACTCCCTAGGTCCTTCAACTCCTTCACCTTCCGCCTCCTCCTCTTCTTCCGCTAAACTTGGCTCGCACAGGGAGTCCTCGTAATCCTCGCACGGGGGGCCTTCTGCTGCGGGAAAGGCCTCATCTGCAAGGACGGATGTGCCGGGAGGAGTGCTGCATCATCAAACCCCTCGGTTTGGCTGGGGTCTGACTCCTCCTTCACTCCTCTGAGCCGTGGGAAGCGGTACGACACAGCGAGGAAGTACTTGAACGTGGCTGGTCGGTGGTTGCGGCTTTCTGGGTCTTTGCCCTTCACACGGATGGGCCCCGCAATGTCGGCTGACATGCAATACACATCCGGGTGAACTACACCGTGGTGGCGGCGGCCGTTTCCGGCACCGTGCACGCAAACTGCACAATCACGGCGGTAAGGCACGTGATTGTTCGCAACATGCTGTTCCCAATCCGCTTGGGTGAATTTCATGAGGCGGTAACATGGCCACCGTTGGAGTGCGTACACGATGGCTTGCACAAGCCCCGGCGCCCACACTGGAGACACACGGTTGTCGGCGCTAGAACAAACCTGCGGCACCTCCCCCTGCAACGCTTGCAAGTCTCTAAGGTCGGGCAAGTTTGTGCCAACAGTTGTGGGTTTATCGCCAGCGTGCCCCAACGGACCTTGACGGAAATGCACCTCAAACAAACCAGCCTCTTCAGCGTAAGCTTGCCACAGCGCGGTGTTCCAAAACGACGGAGCGCTACCCACAGCAGAATGGCTTGAAGCCATGTGGTGTTCAACCGACGGTTGCTCCAACATGAATGCCACCATGGATGTTCCATTCGATGGGTTTGGGTGCACACGCCTCCCGGCGGTGGAGAGTGCATGCAACCACAACATGCGAGCATACAAACCCGTATCACGATCAACGAGATCACGCTCGTCAGAGGTGAGAGTGCTCAGGCCAAACGGTTCAGTGGGCGAGCGGAGTGGATGTGGTCCATCGGCGCGGTGCCCTGTCATGGACCACGTGCGGGTTGGTGGACCTCCAATGACCGCCGCAACTCGTCCCAACTTTGCAACCTTAGCAAGAAGCGTCCAAAGCGGATCATGGTAAAGATCTTGGCTCCTTGAGCGGCAAATGTCAAGCTCAACAACAACTGTATCCTGCGACTCCAATCGTTTGAAAGCCTTGTGCGAGCCAGGGCCCGCAAACAAGTGAACAACCCAATTGGATGCTCGATGAAGCGCCTTCCTCCTTCGCCGGTTGAGGTTTGGCATGCCTTCTTCAAGAGCCTTCCACAAAGTCTTGGAGTCCACATCTTCCGATGGGAGTATGCCTGACAATGCACGGTCGGGCACATCCTGAAAGAATGGAGCTGTTGACACTGCCATGTGGCCCGATGCTGGCGCCGACGAGCTCACATGCTCAACCAAATGATCCCACCACGTGCGCTCCATTGCGATTTTCGCCTGTCTGATGCGATCCTTCCCCTCATCCGTTCTTCGCCTGAGCTCCTCAACCTGTTGCATTTTGTGTTCTTCCAACCGTGATATCAGCGTAAGGGCTTGGCTCTCAACCAATTCCGGGCAACCATTTTTGACCCTAAGCCTCAACGACTTACCATCAGGAGGATACAGCTTGCAACTACCGGCGGACCAAACCAGCTTATACCCCAACTGCTCTATGATAGCACCCATGGGAACAATTGGCTGCACTAGGCCGTCCCTTCCGGGTGGCAGTAGGAGAGTGCCCGCGCGTGTCAAACGCATGATTGTGCTTTGGTCGCCGGCTAGACTCACTTGCACTTCCTCTGCGGTCTCCCACTCCTCCTCAGATGAGGCTTGTCGCATGGGGTGAGTGGCACCGGAGTCGAGAAGGGCGTAGCCAATGAGAGGTGGTTGGGATGCAACGGGTGATGGCTCCACAGCGGGCTCAACGGCAGGAGAATTCAAAATTTCCCGGTTTGGGGGGCCCGAAACCGGGAAACAACTTGAGGGCATGACGGAGCGAATCGTGAGCCTCTTCACCGAAGGATTAGGTGCCGAGGACTGTTGTGATGCAGTACTTAAGCCTTCCGGCTGAGGCTGAGGCGGATCGCTACGCGGTGGCTGGGCCTCGAGCTGCCTCAAAGCTTGGACTGCCTGTTGCATAAAGGACTCGAGCGTGACGGGCATGCCATTCGCGATAGGTGTAGCCTGCACTGGCGCTTGAGGTGTTGATGCTGATGGTGATGTTGCATCCTGTGCTGCTGCTGTGGTCCTTTGCACCGTGGGCTTATCGGGTGATTTGGCATCGGACTTCGCGCCCTTGCCAACGGGACAATCCTTTGCACGATGCTCCTCAGAGCCACACACCAAACACTTTTTAAACCGCTCAGCCTTAGAGAGCTCGGTCATGGAATGTGGGAATTTGCACTTAGGGCCATTTCTACACCCCTTCCGGGAGAGAAAGAACTTACACGGCTTGGCACCTGCTCCTCCCGAGCCTTTCCCCTGCCCCTGAGGTTGGTTTCCACCACCTGGTGCATCTGTGGTTGCATTCAACGCTTGGGCTTTGGGATTGGTGACTACGCGCTTTGAGTCCAGTGCCCCAGCCATGGTTTCAAACTCACCCAGCAAATGCTTGTGGTAGTCTAAAACCTCTTCTCCCGATGGGTGCAGATCAATGTGCAGTGCACTACGCACGATTTGAGTGCGGAACTGCACATCTGGGTGTTTGGCTATGTGTTGGGCTGTTACCGTGGTTAAACCACGGGCCAGAATGGACGGATCAGGGGCTACCATCCCGCACTCCAAACAACGACGATGCCAACGACCCCACGACCTCAACAAGTTTACTCCTGCAACCACTTCCGTAAACTGCGGTGGATCATGCAAGTTCCTGAGTATGAGGTCGCGCTCATTGGTTCCACCTGGCTGGTAAATCGTATGGAGGCGGAACATGATGTGTGCTGCATTTTGAGTTGCCCTGCGTGCTACGATGTCCGATTTCACAGACGCATCCAGTGCTTCCAACAGCATGGCACACGCCCTAGCGTTTACCCTTGACCACTTGCCCTCAACAACCTCCGCCCTATCATCAGGAGCCACCCTCAAACGCTCCACGGGGGACGAAACACTCCAACGGGCAAATGCATCACGCGCCAACTGCAACACACTCGACCACCAAAGTTGAGAGCTGTCCGAAAGATCAACCATCAAGCCGCTCACCAATTCAAGCCAGTCTTGAAACTCCAAGGAGCCACCCGAAGGATTAGGCGCAACGAGTTTTGGCAAGGTGGTGATCCCTGGTTTAACCGTTTCGGGCACATCATCGCCTTTAACCTTGAGCTGTTGAGCCTGTAGGCTTTGCAGCTGTTGCACCCCCAAAACCAGAGCATCCAACACTGAACTTGGGGCTTGTGGTGTTGTGTCCTGCCCTCCTGGAGTCGATGCAACCTGAGCGCCTACAGCCTGAGAATATGGCACTTGCCCGTCCCTTCCGGGCGGCGGTGGCGGCGGTGGTGGCTGCCCTACGTTGGTGGTAAAGCCATCTAAAACCGGTGGATTGGCTGGTCCACCTAAGCTCGGAGCCCTCAACTGCCCCAAACCCAGGATTTCGGGCTGAGAATGGGGGTTTGGGCCAGAAGAGGCCCGCTCAGGACCTGAAGCGAGTGGAACCTGTGCTGATTGAGCCATGGGCTCTGACACAGACCCAACCCTTCCGGGTGGTGTAGCACTGCCCGGCAGCCTTTGCGAACCTTGCAAGCCCGACCACAAGTTGGACCAAAACCCTGATGTGGATGCTGGAGCTCTCAGGGCCTCAATGACCTGATCAGCCAAAGTTGGGATGACAGGATTCGCACTTGGAGGCGCAGCACTGGGGAAAGGTTGAGGAGGGATTGGCGGGTGCCCACTAGGGGTCTGCGTTTGGATGCTCCTGGCAAGTGCTGCTTCCCTAATGGCTCGCTCCCTCTGCTCATTCGCCTCTGCTAGTTGCTGCCTTAACCTCTCATTTTCGGATTCCTGTGCCTGCGCTCTGGCCTCAAACCCTGCAAGCTGCCTGGCGACCTCTGCTTGGATAGCCTCCTGGGGTATTGACGACGTCTCCGTACGGCTAGGGGGCCGCTCAGGGGCTGCAGATCTAGGGTAGATGATGGGAGCCCGCTGCTCAAGAGCTTGCATGCGCTGCAGCGTTTCCGCATTAAGTAGCGGGGGTTCCCTTCCGGGACCCGGGGCAAAGGTAGTGGGTGTGCCGAGTGATCCCGGCTGCGGCGGCGAACTACTTGACCCCACACTCCCATCTGCCAAGGCCCTCGCCCTAGATGTTGCACCAGGGCTTGCGTGAACATGTACATGACGTGGCGGTGTCTGGGCCTGCACCTCAGTCCTTGCCACGCGGAACAACTCGGAAACACGAGACATAAAAACACCAGGGATACCCTCAACCATCTCGGTGATGGTGGTCAAACCCTGTTGCGAACGTGGGGTGACAAACCCCTCAACTCCAGGAGCTTCCCCAGTTGACCTTATGCCCCCCAAACCACCATCACCACTTTGGTCTGCAACCTCGCGGTCCTCACTCAAAGTGTCCTGACGGGGCTCAGTGTTGGCCCGTGGTCCTGGGCTTCCGCCCGGAGCTGCAAAGGCAAGTGGCATGCTTCGGGGCATACCCTGCTCAATCCCACCCTCACCGGTGGTCGACACATGTTGCAAGCCTTCTGCTGGGTCTGTGCTAACACGCGCCCTTCCCGCAGCCGAATCAACCACAAAACCCAAACCACCCTCTGTGCCGGCGGTGGGTGCATCAGGTGTTGTGGACGTCGCATGCCCTGTGGTGCCATAGCCCTGCGTTGGGCTCATAACCTGCTGGAGTGAACCAGCAGGTTGAGTAGAGGATGCAAGTGGAGTGATCAGGTCCCCTGCAAAACTCAACCCAGCCATAGCTCACACAAGGCGGAGATTTTACGCACAAGAAGAAAGCAAGCAAAAAGAAGTCTGTGCTACTTGGGCTTGGCACCTACAGATATGGTACATGTGTTGTTAAAATGTCATGCTCAAGGCGTTCTGTGCTTGGGCCTAAGAGCAACAAGGAAAAAGATTCCGCATGTACACATAGCAAAGGCTTGCAAACGAGGCATGCACTTCAGCAGATCTGCTTTTCGTTTTGGTTAAGAACATACCAAGCAAGACAGCAGAAAATGAAACCAACCATAGCCAAGACTCGGGTAAAAGTGGTTGTTCGCCGACAACCAGCCGCCCTCCACGTAGTGGCCCTTGCAGCTGCCGTCGGAGCTCGAAGCCATCGAATCATCCCTGCCACGGTCGCCCCACTTGTTCTCTTGCTTGGCCTCGTACTTGACTCCCTTGTACCAGGCAGCCGCCTCCTCGCCCTCATACCATGCCGCCCATGACTTATCATCCGCTTCTTCGGTATGGGACCACCATTCCTCCTCCTCCTCCTTGCTCCATCCCACAGTCTCCACACCGTACTTGTTCTCCAAGTACTCTTCCTCGGGCTCGGCTTCCATTTCCTCCTGCTTCACCTCGTTGATGAGCCGCTTGCTGCGATTGGCATGTGCATCCATGATCACCGAACGAACTGCAGGGACCTGATGAGGGGCCGAAAACACCTATCAGTGATTCCAACAAAAGGCTCCCACAACGGCAGCAGCGAGCATGGAACAAGGTTGAACATGCGATCTCACTTTGTCTGCATGCACTGCATGAAGCATGTCGGCTCCTACACAAACAGAAGTAGCACATCGCCTGCGACATGTCACCGAGAAACAACATAGACTCAATTGTCGAAATTCAAACAATGCTTCTGATGAGTTTAGCCAATCCCTCAGCATGAAAAGCACTTTTGCAACCCATCCGCAAAATCTAGCACTTACTCCACATCTTTGTCACTCGCACCTTCGGCGCCTGAGCCTTCGCCTTGCTCACCCAGTTCGGCCTGCTGGGCCGGTTCGGCCTGCTGGCCCGAATTGTGCTTTCTTTTCCTGTGTCGTCTTCCAGGACTGGCCTTAGACTTGGCCCGCTTTGGCTTCACAGGCAAAACCGGCGAATTCCGAACAGCCTTGCGAACATACCGTAGATTGCCCTCAGTGAGTTCCATCCATAGATCGCCCCGGATGGCCCAGAGCAATCTGAGGGATCTCGGCTCCTCGATCACCGCCTGATCGCTGTCGTGGATGGCCGGCACTTCGACACTGACTGAACTGCCCACTAAGAACTCATCTTGTTGTTGAGCAAGTCGAATCTTTGCTGGCTTCTCTTTGTTTTCTGCTTCACATGCTTCAATGATTACTTTGCGAACTGCTGCATTGCATGCCTGCACCCTCAGCTCAGCAAGATCACGAAAGAATTCAACATTGATGGAGTGAACCGGCTTGACACCCGCCTGGTGCAGGTTGAGAGCACGGCCAGTGCAAAATTGCACGAACTCCCGGTCCCATTTCGACAGCTTGAGGAATTCCACCCCGGCCACGGTCTGAACAGATGGGAGCCATGGGTTTTTCAAGCCAGGGCCGGTGATGCAAGTGGCCTTGTAGACGGCGATTTCAACCTCGTTCTGCAATGCTTCTTCTTCTCCTTCGGCTGGGACGACCTCCTCGGCCATGGTTATGTTTATATGAATCGGACCCTAGTCCAACTGGAGAATCCTCAAAACAATTATTTTGCACCAACCTTTGCGGATTTTTTGCACATTAATTTTGCAGATTTTTTGCTCCGGAAATGTCGCTAATTACAATATTGCAAAATAATTGCAAGGCAATTTTTCCGGGCTTCGATATTGCTTTTGAACTAGCACTCCGAGCAATCGGCTAGGTTTTTCGTGGCAAACACAAACATGTCACATAACCGAATCGGAAAACGTGCCAATGTACTGGGCCGAGACAATACACAAAAAGATTCCCAGCATGTTCTTCGGCCCGACCCTGCAATTCCGCTAGTTGAAGCTGGGAGAAATGTTTCAGAGGTAGCTGAAGATTCCAGAATCGACACCAGCACAGCAGACGCCTTTCGGGCACACAAACTGTTTTGCTTTTGTGTTGCATTGAGTCATGATTCATTCGGCAGCGACATTGGAAAGACACGAGTCGTCAATGCTTGCAATCCTGCAATCACGTGCTCACAGCAAATGCTCGAAGAACCAAAACTGTTCCGATGCTTGCCAAAACCTTCTTCTGTTCAGGTTTCTCAATCTGAAAAACAGGTGGAAAACATCCAGTCGACCACACTGCCCATGTCTTATGAACATCGGAAACCTTTCAGAATCAAGGACCTCGGGAGCATCAAAAAGAAAGTGCTCTTCAGGGATATACATCATTGCCTCCTTTGTTTGGGGTCTTTTCAATTGAGGCACAAAACCTACAAACCACCCCAAAAAACAACTAAACTCCCACTGAAAGCAACTAAACTCCCACTGAAAACAACTAAACTCCCATTAAAAACAACTAAACTCCCACTAAAAACAACTAAACTCCCACTAAAAACAACTAAACTCCCACTAAAAACAACTAAACTCCCACTGAATTCCCACTGGATTCCCCCTTCGTCCCACTGAATTCCCATTAAACTCCCACCAAACTCCCACTAAACTCCCACTAAACTCCCACTGAATTCCCACTGAATTCCCTCTTTTCGGCCTCGCCCCACTGAATTCCCACTAAACTCCCACTGAATTCCCTCTTTTCGGCCTCGTCCCACTGAATTCCCACTAAACTCCCACTAAACTCCCACCAAACTCCCACTAAACTCCCACTGAATTCCCACTGAATTCCCTCTTTTCAGCCTCGTCCCACTGAAAACCCACTAAACTCCCACCAAACTCCCACTAAACTCCCACCAAATCCTTATGTTTTCCCTAGGTTTTCCCAGCACCCCGTTGCAAGGGAATTTATAAGGAATTATGCGGGATTTATGCGGTGTGAGGCCTAAGTTAAAGAAGGGTCACTTGAAGAAGCACGAAGGCGCTTTTATTTTCCTTATCGAAAACCGCATGTAAAAGAAAGAGAACATGAGCGCTAGCGGAGTGAACATGTTGCGAAGTCAGGAATGCAATCACTCAACTTGCAATGCAAACAATCACTCGCGCCTCTTCATTTTCTCGAAACGGGCACAGGGGTAAACAGTCTCGTAGGAGTTCGGAGCATGCTGCAGAAGGGCGGAGCCGAGTGAACGGCATGCCACCACTCAAAGACAGCAATGCGTGACACAGGGATAGGGCGGGTGGGACAAAACACACATTGGTGAATGTACACGAGGGTTTCCCGCCCTCCCTCCCTTGAATAGGGAAATGTTTCAGCACAACAAGTGTCTGCAAAGGCAACACATTGACGTGACTGAAAACAAACATGCTTGGTTTTAAAACAAAAGTTTCAAAACCATTTTCGAACGGAAAATAAAGGGTTCGTCCCTTCGAGACCCAACCTTATTTTCCTTATCGAAAACCGCATGTAAAAGAAAGAGAACATGAGCGCTAGCGGAGTGAACATGTTGCGAAGTCAGGAATGCAATCACTCAACTTGCAATGCAAACAATCACTCGCGCCTCTTCATTTTCTCGAAACGGGCACAGGGGTAAACAGTCTCGTAGGAGTTCGGAGCATGCTGCAGAAGGGCGGAGCCGAGTGAACGGCATGCCACCACTCAAAGACAGCAATGCGTGACACAGCACCACCGCCCCCTTTGCAAGCAGTGTCAAAGCGGGAATTGATGTCGCAACACTGACCGAGACGCTCCCATGGCCACAAGCTGACTGCAATCACCGCGACTGGGATTGTCTGCTATGTTGCTCGAAGTTGGCACTCTCCCGAACCATAACCTGCATCGCGTCGCTTCTTCGAGCGTGACACAGGCCTCAAGGATCATGCTTCCCGGCAAAGTACCGGATTTGCAAGAAGTGAAAGCTCCTCGAGCAGCTTCGTTATCGATGTACAACACTGAATAGGAATTGGCCAACTGCTCTGACCAGATGGACAGAGCGGCCCACACTGCAAGCATCTCGATTTCGTATATCGGATGTTTGGAGGTCTCGCGAAGCTTGTTCAAGACTCGATCCGGGAGATCAAGGCCGAAGAAAGAGAGTGCTGAACCACTCCCATCGAACAACGCACCACCCAAACCAGCAGTCGGGCCCTCAAGACTACCATCAGTGAAGATGATGTACGTGCGTCCCATGTGCCTGTCAAGGGAAATGGGCTCCGCGTGCAACGCAACATCCTTCAGGTAAATCAAGGCTTGCCGAAGCTCTGGATCGAGCTTCTTAGAGCAACCGAAGCCTCGGGCACGACGGCTCAAGACTTGCAGAGCCAAGCACGATCGGCGGCCAAACAAGAAAGATGAGAACCAGTGCATCCTTCCTCGCAAGCGGTCTGCCTCAGTCTGGCTGATCGCGTCCCTGTCAAGCACATCTTGGAGTGTGGCAGACAGGGCAGCAATCCTTTCTTCAGTGTGTTTGAGCAGAACTGTGCCATCTGTGAAGGATGAGAGGTCGACTAGGATTCCCAATACTTTGAACTGAGCAGCGAACTCAACTGCTTTCTTGCCCGTCGTTGCATAGACAATGCCAAGGAGCCCGAAGAATCGATGAACAATGCTGCTCACGTCATCGGCCAGTTTGGCTTTGCACAAACAAGGGTAATCGTCAAAGTAGCATCCCCAAGCGAGCTTCAAAACCTGAGCTCCCAAGAACCAAGTCGCAGCCGCCGTCCTCAAGAATCCCGCGACGGAGCCTGTGGCCCCGAACGGCAGTGAGTTCACACCGAAAAGGCGGATCGATCCTGACTCGGTATCTTTGGCTCCGATGCGCAGAACATTCCGATCTTCGGTGTGCACGGCGTACTGTTTGTATGCAGAAGAGAGGTCGTATGTCCTGCCAAGGATCGGGGTGCATCTGGACCTGACGTCTCTCATGGCTTTGACAAGAAAGGCACTCAAGAACTCAAGGCCATGGAGACGGAAGCGTTCCGGGAGACCAGTGGTCTGGTTGTATCCCGAGGCTTTGCAATCGTCAATCACCCGGACCTTGAGCGACTGCAAAATCCCAAACCGTCGTGCAATCAACACACCTCCTATGCCAAAACACCCCGTGAAGTCTTTGGTTGGACGTCCCGATTGGGAGCCCTCGGAAATGCATTTGTCCTCGCAACATGGGGCCTCGAAAATCCATCCCCGTTCCAGTTCAGCTTTGGTCTCCTCCCAAGCTCGAGTTGTAACCTCATCGCAAGGCTGCGCTCGCAGTTTAGCCAAAGTCGAAAGATTTCGAGACCTAGCAGAAGCAAGCTGCCTCTCCATGCTGACCGAAGGAGGTCGGGCCTCGGCCGGATAAACACCTGTCCGGAACATCCAGCCTGACAACCGAAAACCCTCACGCATGTGATCAACAACCTTGTGATCTGGATATCCGTGCTTGCACAGAAGGCGTTTCAAAAGTTCAGTTTTCTTGTCTCGGAGGATGTTTTGCACATGAGTGGGCCATGCCAGCCTCAATCCTTGTTCATGTGGCTCAAGCTCAACCTGCAATTCTTGCCACTCGTCAAGGAGATGAGCACTAGACTCGACCGAATCATTACCTAGCAAATTCTCTACGAGACGCTCAATGCTGGGCTCGTCCTGGTCAAGGAAAGACTTGGGGTGCCCCACTTTGACCGCCTCTCGAAGAAAGTCAAGAGGCTCCCGCGGGATGCCAATCCAAGCCACTTCGACCGTCTGATTTTCCTCCTTAAGCCGGGGCCTTCGCATGCCACAGACACTAACCACACCACTTGGCAGGTGCTCCTCAACAGAACCAGGCCCAATGACCCAATCCCCGGACATCCTATCAAGGGGCGCAGAATCTGAAAGCAGTGGACGATGGCAAACCCGGACTGCACCCCATTTGCAAAGTTTGCGTCGAACAATGCGAGCACCTTTGGGGTACAAAGCAATGACCTGAGAACGTTCGGCTTCGAGCTCAGGAGAGAACGCCCAAGCATCATAACTCTGAAATTCGGAAACAAGTGGTCGTCGATACTTGCCTTGGCGATCCAATGCAACACGCAATTCTGTAGCAGCGGGGCCGAGCAAAGAGTTCGGCGGCGCCCGCGAGGTTGTCTGCTGAAGCAGCAGATCGGAAATGCGATGGCAAAGGAGCCAAGGGTATGCACCTTTATCCGCAGGATGCAGCATAGCGTCCGAAGCATGTTTATGCGAACGGTTACAAAGCAATGCAAGAGGCTCAAAGATGTCGGAGTTGCAGCTGAGGCGGACCCGGCGATTCTGATGCCCTCCATGCATACACACATCAAAGCAAACGTCCTTGGACAGACCTGAAGCGAAAAGAGCAGCCATGGCAGAGTGGGTCCACAAAGCTGATTTCATTGGGCTTTCAATGCACACCCTGAGTCCAAGTTCGACTGCATGCTGAACAACAGCGGCCACTGCCACTGCTATTGGATCTGAATCACTGCACGAAGACAGCAGAGGCGGCGACAAGAAAACGAGCTCAATGCGGTCGGCCTGTTCGGTCAAAATGCTGCAGCAAAGACTTCGGTCCTGCAGGTCACACAAGTCGATAGACTGGACTGGAAAGCGGGCACGGGCAGTGCCGCGATCGAAGGCCAAGACGTCGAAGCCA